AAAAAAAAAAAAAAAAAAAAAAAAAAAAAAAAAAAAAAAAAAAAGAAATGCAATATGCATCTTTTCAAAAGAGGAAATTAGATGCATTTGAATGATATCGAATGAGGCTTACCATTTTACCCTGCATCCCAAAATCTTATTTACTTCTGTTTTGTGGACGAAATGAATGGAGGAATACAACATCAAATAGTATTTATGTATTTTGAGCACAAAGTTTGGTGAATGAAGAGTAGTGAATAAGGTTAGACCAAGTAGCGTTAACAAGTGATGCACAGACATTATAACCACGACAGTGGTCACAAAATTCTGGAGCTACCAGCATCCAACAACAAAAAAATTACTATACCAGAGTTTATTAAATACTTGCTAGACACATGAAAAACAATTTGTCAGGGACCACAGGATCCTAATGGCCAACCAGGTCAGCCTGTTCTTGAACCTCTGCCAGAAGGTGCTGATCACACGTAGGCACGGGGTCTCCTCCCTCTTGCACCAGTTGACAAGCCTGTGAGGATGCAGACAGTTGCCCTGCTGTCGTGGTCCAGGTCACGACAGCTCGCACGCTTCCTTCCCCAGGCGCAGCCCATGGTTAGGTTAGGTTCGTATGAGGGGTGCTCTTTCGTCTGCAGTTCCCTGAGACCAGGTGAGAGAGGACAGTGAGGTTAGGAGATCACATGACCAACTTCTCCCCAGATGTGAAAAGTGGAGAGAGGGGTGCAAGGAAGGGAAACTGATGGGAAGACTGTCATCCCAATCACCTTCTCTTCTCTTGGCCTGCTTCCTCTTGCTGTTTCTTTACATTCAGCCCTAATCCTCTCCAGGAGGCCTGCTCTGACACCCCTACCCTGACACTGGACCAGAACCCTTCTCCTTGTGTTGACCTGGACCATAATCCTCATCACACCCTGTTGAATTTCTCTCCTTCAGTTGGAGGCCCATCAGCGAACAATGTGTCATAGGTGATGGGTGCTCAGTAATGCTTGCTTGTTGGATATGTGAAGACGGCTAATTGTAGGAACAGTCATAATATTTACGTGCGCTTTCATCTGTGCCTATGAAAATCTCAGTAACAGTACAATCCATCTTACAGTGACTGTAAGATCAATCCACAGATAGAAATGGAAAAATCGTTGCCTCACACCTAATTCACGCTAATGTGATGGGCATGGGTTGAAAGGCATACTGGAAGCACACAAAAGACAGGGAAATCTGAGCTTATAGGATTTAGATGGTTTCAGCCTATTTCATTTCCTACATCACATTTGCCTCAGACACATAATGGAGGCAGTGAAGAGAGGGGAAAAAAAAAGCCTTTGTTGCAAACAGAGAGGCTGGTGAGAATTTAAGAAGGGCTCATTGAAGGTGTTAAGACCCCTGGGTTGGCCTGCTGGTCACTTAGGGAAGCCAACCTAACCACCCATTTGGGGCTGTTCCCACCCCTCCAGGAGAGGAACTACTCCCCTGTGCCCATCATTTATTATGCAATGACGACTCAGTGGTAGGTATCTTCTGATAAACCAGGGATTCTTTCCAAGCAGATCTCTGGCTGCCTTGCTCTACAATTATGGAGCTATTTCGTCATATAACTAATATTTGTTGAGCTCTTACTAAATGCTTACACTGGGCCAAGTGCTTTATGTTTAAAATATCATCAAATCCTCACAAAAAACTCCTAAGCGAGGCTCAATTATCATCCCATTCTACAGACAGAGAAACCAAGGCACAGTTTCCGGGCTCACACAGCTATTAAGTGGCCAAACTGGGATTTGAACCTGGGCAGTCTGACAAGAAAGCCCGGGTGCTTAGCTGTTTTATATTCTTCCTCTTTTTTTTTCCAAGTTATTTGCAAAGACATAATGCTTTCTCCCAGGGGTTCCTTTCCTACCAAGAAAGCCTGAAATACTGGAAAATACCATTCTATCACCCCTCCACCTTTGACACACTTCCCTTGCCTCTCATTTGGCCCAGCAGTAATATAACCATGAAATCACTGTGCCCAGCATAAAACCTCAGAATCCACCCTAATAAGCCTGCTGACAGCCCTTCAGTGAAGGGCTGAAGTCCTCAGGGAACGTTATTCAGTAAGGGAGACATTCTTCCAGCCACTGCTCACCTCATCCATGGATCCCTGTCCTCTGCACGCCAGCCAGGTGAAGATCAGACCAAAGAACACACCCAGAGCCATGATAATGTAGGGTATGTTGGTGATGATCAGAGTAGTGTTAATCACAGACCTCAGTCGACTTGCAGTCTCTCTATCAATGAGAACACTCTGCGGGGAGGGGCAAGAAAACAGTATTCCCTTGATTACTGAATATCCAGGGTGTAAAGCTTTTTGCTCTTTCTTCCAAAGCCATTAAACACAATTTGGGTATGTCCTCCTGTTAGCAAACCAGAGATACTGAAAATCCTTTTATAAGTTAGAATAACCAGAGGGGGCACTTATTCATTGATGTCTCTTTGCTCCTGAAGACATGTTTGACTCAAAATTGGTGGGGAAAAGGAGGGGGAAAGTATTCAGAAATACTGAGATAATATCAGCTTTTCTTTTGTATCAGACAACTCCATGTCACTCTTCAAAATCCAACTCAGCATAACTTCCTTCCTGAAGTTTCACTTGGCCTGGTTCAAGGCCCCTTTTCTGCGCTTCCATCTCACATTCTAAAATCTTCCATCACTGTCTCCACATTCTGCATTATAACTGTCTGTTTACTTGTCTCCTCCTGACTGTGAGGTTCCTGAAGGCAAGACTTTTATTTCAGTCAACTAAACACTGGGTATAGCGCCTGAAACACAGTAGGTGCTCAATTAATGTCGCTTGATTAGATGAATGAATGAATGAATGAATGAATGCAATATTCCAACAATGGCATGTGGAAAGCATCATTTCTCTCTTGTTTGGATCTATACTGATTGGGACCAGAGGTCTAGACAGAAAGTGTTCAGGGAAGTCTTGAGGCTAACCAGAATTCCAGATAACTAAGGGCAAAAGTATTATCACCTTAAACTGTGAGGTATCTGAAGAGCTTAATTCTATAAAAATTATTAGCTACAACTGGGACTTTGGGCTTAATTTAGGCTCAATTTGCAGATGAAGGCCCATCACGGTCAGAGTCTCCACCTCTGGAAGAAAAGGGGTGGGAGAGCAGTCTCCAAGGTCACTTCCAGGTCTAATGTTTTCCTTTTCTAGAGAAGAGAAAGGTCAAGTTCTTTCTGGGAGGGAGTAAAAGCACGAGGTTTCACTCCATCATTCCCCGGACTCAATCTAGTCTTTAACAAAAAGTCATAGCAGAAGTTAAGGTGGAGGGGAATTCAAATATGGTGCAACAATGAATGTAAGCTGGCAGAACAGGGCCCTTCCACACTTTCAAAAAGCCCTCCTTCCACGGCTCTCCCCACAAACAATAACTGTAATGACCCAGGAGCAACTGCAAATAGGTCCTATAAATGGTAAATATTGCCTGAATTCTTCCTATGAAACAATAAAAGCCTTGTCTTAGAACTGTAATCACAAACCCTTCAAAAGTTTATCAATGTGGCTACCAATACAATGCTAAGTTGAAAAAGGATATAAAACTGTATCTACCGTATGGTCTCAACTATGTAATATCAAACCCAGAAAAATACTGAGGCAACATAAGCAGATGTCAATTGCACTTTTCTCTGAGGGATGGGCTTGCTTATCAAGCAGTTCACTTTTTAAATACTATTTTTAATCTCCTGAGTTCTATAAAGAGCACGTTACTTTTACAAAATGTGAAACATCAAATTATTTTTTACAAAGTTGTTTTCGAAAAAAAATTTTACAACGTATTGCTGAGGAAAATAAAGCAAGTTAAAAACAATTTATCAGGGGATTCCCCGGTGGCTCAGTGGTTAAGAATCCACCTGCCAGTGCAGGGGACACAGGTTCGAGCCCTGGTCCGGGAAGATCCCACATGCCGCGGAGCAACTAAGCCCGTGTGCCACAACTTCTGAGCCTCCGCTCTGGAGCCCGTGAGCCACAACTACTGAAGCCGGCGCACCTAGAGCCCGTGCTCCACAACAAGAGAGGCCACTGCAATGAGAAGCCCGCGCACTGCAATGAAGAGTAGCCCCCTCTCACTGCCACTAGAGAAAGTGCGTGCAGCAAATAAGACCCAACACAGCCAAAAATAAACTAATTAATTAATTAAAAAAAAATTTATCAGTCTGGCTCAGGTTTTGTGAGAAGTCATTTGAACTTTCCCTTTCCTTGCTAATCTTTGTTACTAAATCTTCTACAAAGAACAAATATTTTTAGGGAAGAGAGAAAAATCATGAAACTTTAACAACTGTTGCTGTTAACAATGGAAGCCAGCCGATCATGAATTTGAGGGGGAAAATTCTGCAAGTTTCTCCTCAAAACTGGGTGAAAGAGAGAAGGGAAATTGAGGAGACATAACTACAGTAAATGTGATATGTGATTCAGAAAAGAATTTATCACAGGTGTCTTAAATAGTGGATGTTTTATGAGCTTTCAGAATATGCTTTACAGAACTTCAATTTATGCCTAACAATTAGGGATAACATTTCTGTGGGTACACTGTGAAAGAAATATTTCTCAAGAGAAACTCCTCTTGTTTGAACTACGACAGGAACCAGAAAGTAGAAAAGACTCTATGCTATGATGAAGGATAAGGCACCCACGTATCACTGCAATTAATGGGCATGTATCACATTTAATCATTTCTCAACCACCCCATGCTCTTTTTTACTCTTTTTCTCCTCAACTAATGAACGGTAAACTAATTACCTTTGCATTTTGTTTCTTACATAACCAGCTTCCCAGAAAGAAGTTTCACCCAAATAGTGTTCTTGACAAGGGAAATTTCTTTCGGTCATTTTCAAATCTCAGACACAGGAAGATTCATGTAGACATATAAACAGAAATTTTCTGAGGACAAACAGGTTTTAAAAAATCACCTTGGGCTTCCCTGGTGGCACAGTGGTTGAGAGTCCGCCTGCCGATGCAGGGGACACGGGTTGGTGCCCCGGTCCGGGAAGATCCCACAAAAAAAAAAAAAAAAAAAAAAAAAAATCACCTTTGCCCCTTTCTCACATCTTAAATTATACATAGCTACAATCACAGAAGTAGGAAGTTCCCCAAGCTTCCACAGGTAAAACGTACCTGTGGCTCCCTCCCAGGACTTACCTCATTGATATACATCACTGGGAAAACCAGGGTTCTAATATTTCCCGTTTCACTACAAACACAAAAAAAGAGACTATTTTATAGACATCCTCATTATGATGGCACACTGGCCTGGCGAGACAAGTTTATATGAAAATGCCAGCCCAGTTATTTCATTAAATTACCTGGAATTTATGCAGACCTCTTATTATATCTGCAAACACATAATAATCAGCAGTTAGATCCTAAACAGTCTAGCAATTCAAAGTGTTGCATATTTATGTAAAGTGTGTTTAACCAAAACGCAAGATGCCAAAAGTAAATTCATCAAAATGATTACTATACTCCCAAGAGTTATTGGAGGGTAGGTTCCAGCAGAACAATGCTGTCATTCCTCAGAATGTTTTATAATCAGGCTACTCAGTATTGTCTTTACAATAGCCTGAAGCAATCACTTACTGAGCATTTACTATGCACCAGCTCTGTACCAAGTGTCCTGGGAACATTATCTCACTTAATTCTCAGGTAGTCCCATGCAGTAGGTATTACTGTCCCAGGTTTAAGACAAGGAGATGGTGGCTCGGAGTAATTTGCCCAGGACCACCACGAGGAAGTGGTGGAGCTAGGATTGGAATTCCACTTTGATTCTAAGGCTCTAGATTGTAATTACTAAATTATACTCCCTCAGAAATACACACACAAAATGCATCCTTACAAATCGCATTTGCTTCCTAGAAAGATCCCAAACACATGTGCTTAAACCTGGCAAATTTTATGGGGGGAGACAACCAAGTTTGAATGATAGATAGGCAGCCAGAAAGATTAGATAAATATAGATATACTGCTTTTTCATTCAACATTGAATGAAATCATTTTCTCAATTTCCACTGAAAAGTCTGAGCAGGAGATTATCCTAAGATGATCCTAATTAAGTAGATGGAGTGGGGGTACACTGGACTCCAGAGAGTATTTAACCATCCACGGGAGGGTTTGTGGCTGGCCTGGGTGGGAGCAGTGGAAAGAAAGGGAGGGAGGGAGGCAGCCAGAGTCCTGGTGAGGGAAATGCTTAGCAGAGTGGGTAAGAGCAGACTCTGGGCCTCAGTTTCCTCATCTGTAAAAGGGGGTAATACAGGGTTATTGTGAGGAACAAATGAGTTAATGTATGTAAACTACTTAGAATAATGGCTGATCCATGGAAAACATTCTATGTTTGGTTAAGTAAAATAAGTAACTTCCAAGACCAAGGCTGCCCATGACAATGCTGATCGTGCCTCATCCCTGAAGGGCAGGGTGAACAGACTTAGAAGTGGGCTGTACCCCTCTCAACATCAACCCCACCAGAAAGTCAATGTAGCAAAACCACCCTCTGCCTCTGCAGAAACAAGCAAAACTTACCTAAAGTCATCTAATTTTTTGACATAAACGTTGATTTGGAACCTCTTGGCTGCTCTTAGGATAATTCCAGTCAACTGTGAATCAGAGAAGTAGAAAGAAAATGTTAGGATTTATTAAAACCACACACAGTTTTTGTCGATAGAGCACTGTTTCTGGGTGGTTCTGATAAACAGGGCGGCCAATGCCACATTTGCTAGGCAGAGTGGGACGAGGGAAAACTGTTCCCCAGGACAGAATGAGAACTGTGGATTGTGTTAGGTGCCTGGTAGACCAATGTTTCTCACACTTGACTATGCATGCGAGTCCTTGGGCACCTTATTAAAATGCAGATTCTGATTTGGTAGGTCTGGGGTGGGGCCTGAGATTGGGCAGGATGCTGTCACTTTGAATAGCAAAGCCCTAGAGGACCCGGGCAGGAAGGAGATCCAGCAGATACTCTGTCGGCTCTGGGTTTCCAGGCGGAGGGCCGGAGTGCTACAAGGAGAACGTGGTCACAGCCAGAGAATGGTGCCCACGTGTGGCCAGGCCCACCCAACAGAGCCCGGAGGACAGACGCAGCATTGTCCTCCCATGGCCACGCCACCTTTTGCACCAAGCGGGTGGGGTTGTGTCTCACCCTGGTGACAAGCGGTTTGGCTACTGAAAAGGAACTGACTGATGGCTAAGAGAGAAAAGGGAGAAAACCACACCTGACCTTATTCACAAAACGATAAGAGCACCGATTTCTCAAATATAAATGCAATGAGTGTAGCTAACAGTGAAATGCCCATAAGTTGCTGTGCTCCAAGAATGTGCTGGTTCTTCTGTGACTGTTCCATGCATGTGTTCAAAATCCCAAGAATGAAGATATCTCACCTTTAATTCAGTCCCTACAGTGAAAGGTTCTCACATTGTGAAATGATACTCACATCCTTTCAACATGGTTTTTAGGTTTTCTCCTCTATGAATACAGGATTAGAGTATGTATATATTTGATGCTTTTTAAGTTAATGATGTCATATAATAACTCTCAAAAGCACCTGTATAAAGAGTTTTGCCAAAAGTGACTGAAGCTAATATATATACATTTAAATTTCAACCAAAACGTTCCTGGCAGCGAGTAAGCAGAGGAATGTCTTCACCCTGCTGATCTGTGGCCCACTGAGAGGAATGTGTGTATGTTCAGGTCCAGTCTTTTGGCAACAGAAGACTGACCAGGTTACCTGGGTCCGATTCCACTTGTTTCCAATGATGGGACTTTCACTGTTGCTTTTTTGTTGAAGTGGGTTTGCCGATATTTCTGCGTATTAGCTCAATACAACTCAGCCTTCTAATTACAGGGCTATGAGACTCTGCATCACATCACACTGAGCTGAGCTCCCTCCACTTGAATATGTGAATGGAAGGAAGACAATACATTTCTCAAGAGTACCCAGGGCTAAGCTGGTGAACACCATACAGACAGAATAAAATGTATGTTTTTTAACCAAGAAGACGTGTGTACTCACAGGATTAATGTCCACAAATGTCTCATGATATTCCTTATTTGGGTGCATGCCTTCTATGGCAGAAACAAACTTCTCATCTGCTTGGTAGAAGTGTGGGAAAGACATAATAATAGGTGCACCTGCATTTTGAGGAAAACAGAAATGAATGGTGAGGTTCTTAAAAGTCTAAGATGAATATAAAGTTCCTGACCACAAATCCAGTTCCTCAGTAGGGGGAAAGCTATACACAGAAAAGTTGGGTTGGGGAGAGGGGCAGGCTAAAAGTATATTCTACATCTCTTAGCTAGGGATTTATACTTCATCTTCTGACATCTCATTTACCCCTACGTTATTTTATATCATAATATGAAGTCCTGGCTTCATATTATGAAGCCAGGCTAAATGAAGTCCTGGCTAAATCATTTATTCTTCAATAAACATTTGTTGAACCTATAATAGACAAATGCTTTACACACATCATTTTAATTAGCACTCCCAGCAGTCCTATGAAGTTAGAACTATTTCCTTCCTTTTGCATTTGAGGAAAGGGAGGTTCAGAGAAGTTATAAAATTTCCCCAAGACATCCAGCTTTCAGGCGATGGAGGCAGAATTCTGATCGAATAAGGGACGACTCATTTTAAAGCACTTGTTTCAACTGTAATTCTCTACCAGTACATGGACTTTTTTCCCCCTTATTTTTCTGCTTTCCTGTTTATGTTTTACCCAAAATAGGCATCTTGCGGCATCTTAGTTCCCTGACCAGGGACTGAACCCCGGCCCTCAGCAGTGAACGTGTGGAGCCCTAACCACTGGACCGCCAGGGAATTCCCAATGCAGAATTTTTTTAAGACTTTGCCTGGTCCTGCCATCTGCAGCCTCTGACTAGATCAAGGTCTGCCCACAGGGAGACACTGTGTTTTTTTTCTTCCTTTTTTTTTAAAAAAAATTTCCTATTCATTTTAAGGAACAAATAGAGAAGCAAGTTATTAAAGGAAACCTATTCTATTGATAGATTTTGCTCTTGAAAAGAGGAGAGGGACTCAACAAATGCTGCCAGGAAAATACATTTTGGGAGAAATTAGCTTAACGGCAAGTAGTTTAAGTCTGCTCACATATCCTCCAGCCCATGGCTCAGACACCTCACTTGTCACACACACAGTTCTGCTCTCTGTTGCTACACAGTTTCACGAAGACACGATTTCCTTCTTTGTGACCTACACAGACCTTTATTTATTTATTTTTTTGGCTGCACCACGTGGCTTGTGGGATCTTAGCTCCCTGACCAGGGATTGAACCCAGGCCCTCAGCAGTGAGTGGGCAGAGTCCTAACCACTGGACTGCCAGGGAATTTCCTACACTGACCTTTAAAATGTATTTTTAAAGATCTGTTAAGGACTTAATAAGGGCCAGACACTGTCCTGAGTGTTTTACATACATTATCTCTAACCTTCACACAACCCTGCAAGGAAGTTATAATCACCCCCATTTTACAGATGAGAAAACTGCTGCCTGGAACCCTCCTTCAGCAACGTGGCTGATTTGCTAACAAACAGAATTCAATCCCAGATCCCCCTGACTCCAGAACGCTCACTCATCCCACTAGCCAGAATGTTCCCCTGGGGAATGCAAAACACTTGAGGATAGTCCTGAAGGGTAATATTTCAGTCCACATCCGGGAACACAGAACAGGCAAGAGGAAAAGGATTATAGCAAGAGGTATGACTGCCGCAAAGTAGAATCCTTCTGTTGGTTCTGACATCAACTTCTTGAGGAAGTAGACTGCTAACAAAACAACAAGAAAAACGTGTCTACATGTGTGCCTTGAACCACAGAAACATGGGTTGATCGGGCAGGTGCCATTTCAGGACCATCCCCCAGTGAGCCAGCAGGAGAGGTCTGATCTCTAGGTCAGGGGTGTGTGTTCCCCAGAACAGTGGTTCCCAATCTCGCAGGTACCACCTTCACGAGCATCACCTGAAGCTCATTAAAACTACAGATTCTGGGGTGCTAGCAGGTGGGCCCTGGGACAGATGTTTTTAATGATTCTCCAGACAGTTCTGAGGCCAAGCTTGGGAGCCATGACCCCATCAGACAAGGAAAGGGAGGGTTATCCCCAAAAGAGATTTTCAAACCAAATGGACAAGGGGGCAAAAGTTAGCACAGTATTCAGGAAAAAAGTACAACTTTAATCAAGAGAAAGGAGTTACAAAGTTTCTCAAGAGAAACTTTAAACAAGAATTGTAGTCTAAGAAAGATCACAGTACAAATATGAGAAGACCCTAAGTTCTAGCAGGAATTTGCTCAGAGGTAAGGATTTTATAAAAATCCTGTTCCTTCTCTGAGCCCTGGTTTCCACAATTATGAAAAAAGGCTACTGGCTGTCTATCTAGCAAGGCTATTGTGAATATTATGCAGCATATGATTGCAAAAACTAGTCCTCGTGATGAAAAAAATGCTTCTGTCAGCTGCACCCCTGATCCTTCCACCTCATTCACGGAAAGGAGCAGATTAGCTCAGACATTAAGAAACACTGGCCCTGGACCGGTTTGAAGAAAAAGAAAAACAAACTCTTAAACTACTGCCCAGGAAAAACATAACATGGCAATCTAGGAATAAAAATCATTACAGAAAAGCCAATGCTTTTTTTTAGAAAATACTATGCTAGGGCTTCCCTGGTGGCGCGGTGGTTGAGAGTCCGCTTGCCGATGCAGGAGACGCGGGTTCGTGCCCCGGTCTGGGAAGATCCCACATGCCGCGGAGCGGCTGGGCCCGTGAGCCATGGCCGCTGAGCCTGCA